ACTACAGAGTGCAAGATGCCCCCAGAGGGGGAAGAACAAAGTTTACCTGCACTTGGGTTCTGAGGAGGTGGCCAGTGGTCCAGCCCAGAGGGAGGCAGAGGCAGCAGGGCATCAGGGAAATTCTAAGGGCTGACTCCCCTCCACACCCTCCTGTAGCCAGTGGCTACTCAGAGAAGACCCAAGAGCTGTATAGGAGGCACGTGTTGACCCCAAATTTCCGAATATGCTCATGGGATGATGGTGCCCAACAATGATTCTTATTTCCCTCACAGACCTTTCCATGGAAGCCAGTCAGCCGCTTGCCATTGGCTTGATCTGATCGCAGCTCCCTCCCACTTCGGGTCAGAGCACAACTGTACCTCTTCGTTTTCATTGACTGGTTTTTTCCCCCATAAGTCGATCACCAGGCCTTTCTTCCTGAGTACCTCTGGGCAGGCTCAAACTCCCCCCTTTCAGGTAGCAGCCGAGCTTAGGTACTGCACTGTATAAGGACGCCCCCCACCCCAAAGGGCCTGGAATGATAACAGAGTGTTGTCGCTATGTAGAATGAGTTGAGAGGTGGGGGTGATTTCAATGGACTCGCAGTGTCCAAATTCTGAATTGCTGTCTCTGTAAGAAGGAGCCCAGATGGTGCAGTGGTTAAGTCCTCAGCTGCTAAACAGAAGGTTGGTACTTCGAACCCCCCAGCCATTCTGTGGGAAGAAGATGTGGCAGCCTGCCTACAGAAAGATGCCCGCCTTGGGAGCTCTCTGGGGCAGTTTGACTCTGTCCTGTGGCGTTGCTGTGAGTCGACAGCACGCGATTAACTCTGATGATCTTAGTGTCTTTCCTCGTGTTCTTAGACAGCAGTTCTAAGCACCACCACCACCCACATGCACACCATCCAAACAGCAGGGCCAGGCCTCCTCATACCAAAAGCTTCATCCTGTGTCCCTGCCTAAATGGATCACTGGCACGCGCCGTGGCAGATTTAGACTACGGTAATCAGTTTTCACATTCCCTACGCATATTGGCACCTGAACCAGATTCATGGTTTTTTATTATCAGGGGAAGAAGGAGAGGGTGGTGGTTGCCTAGGGAACCAGCGGTGCCTGCCACAGTAGAACTCCTACAATCTTAGCTTAGAATTTAGCTCCTGGTCCCTGTTCTAGCCACATAGCTGGTGCACAGGCTCCCGGGCTCTTAGGAAATGGGCTTCTGTGGATTACATTGGATTTCACGTTGGTTTCTGGTCTGGGGGAGCGAACCGTCAGCCTCGCTTTCCTGCTGTTGTTGCTGGTGGTTGGTGCTGTCCATTCCTGCTCTTAGTGACCCCAAGCCCCTCGGAACGAAACACTGTCTAACCCTGCACCACCCTCACTCTTGGGCCCATTGTTGCAACCACTGGGTCCATCCATCTTGTCAAAGGTCTTCCTCTTTTTCACTGCCCCTCTGTTTTACGAGCACAATGTCCTTCTCCGGGGACTGGTTTCTCCTGATGACCCGTTCAAAGTACTTGAGACAAAATCGCGGTCCTTGTTTCTAAGGGGTATTCTGGCGGCACTTCTTCCAAGACAGGTCTGTTTCTTCCTTTGGTCGCCTTCAGTGTCCTTAGCCGGCACCATGGTTCAAATGCATTGATTCTGCGTCCATCCTCCTTATCCACCATCCAACTTCCACAAGCATATGAGGCAATTGACAATACCATGGCCTGGGTCAGGGCACCCTAGTCCTCAGAGTGACATCCCTGCCCTTCAACACTCTGAAAAGATCTCGTGCAGCAGATTTACCCAGTGCAGTGTGTCATTTGATCTCTTGGCTGCTGCTTCTAGGAGCCTTGATTCCCAGAAGGGCCCCTGGCTGCCAGCATTTTACTCATCTCTTGGCTTGGTAGCTCACCAGCGCCTCCGTGTGGTGTGTCCCAGTAGGAGGGAGACTGCCCTAATTGCTCCATCTGGCCCTGGCCTTTCCACCACTAGACTGGAACATTCACTGGCAGCACCTGTAGCCAGCCTTTCAGGAACCCAGACTCTGGATGCACTTTACTTATTCCCGACCAACTAGCCCAATTGATCTAGGAGGTCTCTCTCAGGATGCTCTGAGAACAGGCCTTCTGAAAGAGATTGTCCCTGGGCTGCACACTTGGCTCTCTGCCTGCCCTTAATCATGGAGAGGGCTTCAGAAAGCAACTCAGGTGCAGGCTCGGAGAGAGGGCTGCTTTGTGTGCAGGGAGCAGACAGGTAACAGCCGAACCTGCTGGGTTGTCTGTGCTTAGAAGTTCACCTGAGGCCAATCGGATTTAGAACAACTTTCTCACCTCCTCTGTGTGCTGGCTAATTGGCCCGGCAGTGTGGTTGCTGGCAGGGTACTCTGGGT